AAACTCCGTACAGAAAACGTTCATGGAGCCGCAGCATCGACTGTCTCATATTTTCAATTTATCTTCAATTGGTGGTAGAGTTCTGAGCACCATTTCTTTTCTCCGAGTGGTTCTCCGTGGTGTTTCTTTACCTTTACTTGCTTTAGAGGCCATAATAATCCACGAGGGAAGCACTAATTACAGTAAAACTAAAACAGAGTACACAGTGAAACCTCTCTTAGTGCCTAGGAAAGTATATAGGAGGAACCGAGGAATATCTAATAAAGACGTTCTACTCGAAGCGTATGTCGTCTGCAATGTTTCCTTTTTTTTGTTTATTTCTGAGCGCGACATTAAAAGGCATAATTTCTGCTAAAAGAACTACACATTAATTAAATTTTTTGCTGTTCATCAAACCGAAAGATCCAGTAAAATAATTGCTATATCTTACAAATAAAATAAAAGGGTACAGACGTCCTCCCTCATACACGCCCGTTTTCTTTTATCGCAATAGAGAAAACGGATGTCACTTGAAAGAGAAAACGAATGTCACTAGAAGAGTTTAAAGGCCAAACTTAAATAACTTTGAATGAGTTTAAATGTATTAGCGTAGTATTAAAGAGATCAATCGAGTATCACTTGAATTAAATGGCTAATAATAACAATAACAATGCAGTAATAATATAGGTCATTTGCGAAGGAAACGTTATAGAAATGTCCTAGAATTGTTTGAATTATTGATTGCAAAGACAAAATTTTCGAGATTCGGTTAATAATAATAATAATAATAATAATATTAGTAATAGTAGTACAGTAGTAATTATGAATAGATTATTAAATTATCATGTAGTTAATTCAGGACGGAGTTATATTAAAGAAATCAACCTTAACGAAATAAATTTAAATAAAGAAATGCACATAATGGAACTTTAGTAAATCTTTGCAAACTTAATTTTACGATACAGATTATTATTAGCAAAAAAAATATAAGAATAAATTGATTTCAGGAATATTAGGAACCCTAGAATAGATTAGGATTAGTTAAGATTTGATTAGGTTAGATTAGATTAGGCTGACTTAAGATTTGGTTTGGTTAGATTAGATTAGGCTAAGTTAAGATTTGGTTTGGTTGTTAAGTTACTCCTATTTGACAAGTGATGTGTTTCTATTCCATTTTTTGGCACAGAAAAACAGTTATCATGCACATGCACATTTTATTAGCTAGACAACATACAACATACATTATTTATGTATTCACTTTAATTATATTTGTAATATAACAGTAGTACTAAATAGAGGTAGAATGTTAGCCTATTTGTAATGATTAATTTTACACACATATATATGGTCATCCACAGGGGGTCGCAAGGTGGTTATGTTAGGTTAGGTTAGAAAATTTAGAAATGCTCTTTTTTCCGCAGTTCTTGTTCATAATATGTGTATGATGTTAAAAGTTTTTTAAATGAATTGTTTGTTCCATAATGTTTCCACAACGGTCACTTGCGGGAAGCCGGTACTTTTGACAATTCCTCTGTGTGGGAGAATTACGATGTCATTGGCAAGAGTGACAACTGGTACCTGGGCCTGGCTGGCTGACTCAGGTGAGACCGTCAGGATGGCCACATCAGAGGAACCGTGTATACCTGGTGTTAGGTCATGATGAAGACGTGACCACTTGTCATCAAAATTTATTATGCATTGTTTTAGTTACAGCGATTAATTTAGTAAATTTTCAGTAATATTTAATTGCTTATTGTAACAACATAACTAATTGTGGGTTCTTATTTTTAAACTTTTGATAACTACAGTAGTATGATTTGGGTGACTGCACAATTTATCTAGTACAGTACAAGATGACACATAATTATAAACAATATAATATTCACATGCTCAGCGTGCACTAATGAAGGTGTTAAATAAAAAGAAAACCTTCACTGAAGATGTGATTGATCGTTTTAGAGCTGACGAGCGCGACCTGCAGTATTTATTTATCCACTGAAGTTACTCTGATAATGCTCTGAGCAAGTCACCAGCCATCCCTTATTTATCAGGATTAATGATATAAAATGAATAATTACCAATAGTTTTTAATACTTAAGGTCAATCCTGTAATAATGTTAGCAATTAATAATTTGGTGATAACACTGATAAGTGATATTGCTGATCATACAGTACATACTCAATAGTATGGTAATTTGAATATAGTGATCATACTCAATGAATAAACTGATATATCAGGTCTTGTCGTGCTTTCCTGCACCCCCCCTGAAAAAAATTCTGCATATGCCAATGGTAGGGTTAGATGCCTTCAAATTCCTCTCCCACACCTCAGAAAGAAAGCAATCACTCTGAACAGTCTTGAACTTGTAGTAGAAATTACATACACTAGCCCCCCATAATAACACAGGTATTGATAACATCCTAGCCAGGTTTATAAGGGATGCTGCTCACTGTATTGAGAACACCAGTTATATATTCTAATTCATCTTTCCATTAGTACCAATACTACACCAGATGAAAATAAGTTTGCCAGAATAACATACTATCTATAAAAACAACAACAGATCATATGTAGGTAGAGTATCCTGTGTGTTCAGTATAATCATCGTTTTATGGCCATTTGCCACGCTTGCATGGGTTAGTCCAAATTGTGACTTTAACCATAGAAAACTGATCAACCTTCTTACCTTATATCTCCAATGATAAAAGAGTAAAGACTCCAGCATTTACATAAACATGTGTGGGGCAGGAACGCTGATACTGGCGACTTACCACCTTAGGGCCAACAAGCCTTGATGCATATTATCTGATTACTGCTTAGAGGGTTGTGGTTCATGAGCACGTGTGTACGGTATGCTTGTATGTCAGTGGAGTACGACTCATTGAGGTCTAGGAATAGATGAGTAATTATGTTCAATAAACCTTGGAGTAAGATGGTTAAAGTCTTGGAGTATGATGGTTAAAGTCTTGGAGTATGATGGTTAAAGTCTTGGAATATGATGACTAAAATCTTGGAGTATGATGGTTAAAGTCTTGGAGTATGATGGTTAAAGTCTTGGAGTATGATGGTTAAAGTCTTGGAGTATGATGGTTAAAGTCTTGAAGGATGATAGTTAATGTCTTAGAATATGATGGTTTAGGAAGGATTCATAGTAATATGTGTATCAACTTTGGAAATCAAACGCACATTAAAAGAAACAAACTTATATTAAAACAATACAGTGTCAATGCCCACCAACATCCTCTTGAGAAGTGCATACAGGAGTAAAGCCACAAAGACCATACATGCGTAGATACAGAAGGAAGTCCCATGAGTGAGGTACATAACATGAGAGGACTCTGGTCATGGTTATAAAGTGACCTCCTAAGTGTGGTAATGTGGGATTAGCCGAGGTAAAATGTAATGCTTTAACACCCAATGTTTTTATCAATGGATCTTTATTTGTAAGTATTGTACTTTCATTTTCGATTGATATAGTAATATTTTTGGAAGTTTATGCTATAATTGTCGATAGCTTAAATTGTAAATGTATAAATATAAGTGTATCTAAGTGAGTTAGTATTGCTTGGGAAGGATGTGGGCACTGGGTTGCATTTTGCCATACTTCATCTCTTATTTGACTTGCTACTAATGTCATATCTCTGATTTGTAACATCACATACAATTAGTTTCAATCAACTTGGCTCCGCTTCTTAGTTCTTTGAGGGTTGTATGCCAGATAATCTACTTTGGGCTTTCAATACTTTAGTGCTGGGTTGGCCAAAAGTTGCTGATAACTGACATTTGGAGATATTTAACAAGAATAAATTTGAGTACTGTAGTATGTGTCCCTTTACGGGATAATTACTGTGGTTAGTCTGGGTATGGGAGAATTCCAGTACTCGTAAATGTTCCCCCAACTAGGCAAATATCTCTTCTAAATCATTTTTTTTATGATTACTTGTGTAATTTTCCAGATTGTTATTTTAAAACCAATAAAAAAATACACCATAGGATACTGAAGTGTTAATTTGGGAAAAAGAGATGTGTTAATATAAGAAAATGAAAAGAAAAAGTGTTTATAAAAATAATTGAGAAAATTAAGAAATATTGAATAGAATAAACTCCTAATTCTGTACTTTTGATACCTTTATACACCTTTATTACAGTATAAGTGGAATGGAAGATCAATACTGCATGCTATAGTAAAGGATTCCCTGTACAGGTTCATCTGTTTATGGCAAAGAATGATACAGTAGGTCCCTAATAATGTCAAGTGCCACCAGGCTTGTCACCAGGAGGTGGGATATTTGGTCAGGAAGGGGCAGGCATTGAGGTACATCACAAGTAGGGTGGGTGTGGAGGGTTATACTCACCATCGCAGGCTACATTGGCCTTTACTCCCCAAAGGCTTGTCTGGCACTTTCGTCATGGCTCAATACTTATTTCACGTACAGAACACAAAAAATGAGAGTCAAATGTCACTGCCTCACGGATGTTTACAGTACAACAGCAGGATACAGACTAGCAGATCACAGCAAGAGGAGACATGAAGTAAACTACAGCTTGTCCTTAGTCTGTGGGGAGTACTTAACTAGCCAATCAGTGCCATGACACTTGCCCCCAGGTGACTGTCAAACCACAAGAGAATCTGCGTATCAGACCAGATTTTTGCGTGAGTAGCCAAGTGCAAGGAAACATCTCAGAAAATTTTGGACGGCTCCCAAATCCAGTCATTGGAGACGTCTAGATAAGAGACACAGTATCTGGTTAAAGGGCACACTGTAAATTGAGAGTAATTTACAAAAACATGTTAAATCAGTTTTCTAGGCATTACAGCAAGATTTGAATGTGTTTCTAACATAAAATTATTATATCAATTTTGTTTTATATTCTCTTCCTGTAAACTGAGATAGTGTTAATGAATAACTGGGAGAGAAATATATTGTGTCAGGTTTACAACTAGAGCCACTCTCTTACAGTAAGAAGTGGCAGCCCTTTAGTAATGAATCACCTCTATAGAGGATAGTGAAATATGATCCATGTGACAGTAATACAACTGCTCTTTATTAAAACAATTATACTATAAACTTAGTACATGTACTACATGTTGTCATTTAAAAGTACATCCATTAAGAAAAACATAAGAACAAGAACAGTTGCATCTACATTAATTTAAAAGCACACTTTAAGCATTAGAGTACATTTTTACATTAGGGTAATTACAAATATTATTGGCTAAGGTGTTGTGAACTCAGGATAGGATTCCCTCATCAAAAGTGGGCCGCGACACTACTCAGCGAAGGGGCTCACGCTTTTCCACGACAGATTCCTAGATTTAGCTGACAGCTACGTGATGCCTGTGTGTGTGGATATATCAAACATTTCTGGTGCCTAAAACCCACCCCCCTATATTTCCATCACACGAGGATCCAAGGCTCATTTAACGTCCGGCCTCCGTTACTCCATTCATGAGAAATTCATCGTTAAATAAACAGAATTGGCTGATAGTTAATGTTTCTTGTAAATGTCGAGATACTTAGTATATTTAAGCTTAACATTATCTATCAGTACCAACAAACTGAAAGGATACAATTACAATAAAATCTATTAGAATCAAAGTGTTACCACTTATCCCAACCTTCGAAAACTGTTCCACAACGTAACAATAAATACACGAACAGGAGAAACTTGAGCAATGTTAATTCATACCACAAAGGATACATTCAAGACCCTCCAACTGCTGAATCGATTAAGTTTACCCGACAAATTCCGCCGTTTCTCCAAGAGTCGGGGCATCTTTCCTTGGAGGAGTGTCGCGGCCGTGTGTTCCTCGGAGAAGTGTCGCGGCCGTGTGTCACACCATTGACAGACAGTTGAGCACTCCACCTCAACTCTCGGGTCAATTGCTACGCCTATCACGTAAACAATAATAATAAACCATTAAGCCCTCTATTGTGGCAAAACTCATCTGTCAACTGGTAACAGCTCCTTATTGTAGTGCCTGGGTTGTCACGCCTGTCTGTCCTGAATTAAAAACAAGAGCTCTTAATACTCCAATTTACCATATTCAAAATCCATCTTACTGCTGTTCACCTTTTTCTGTACATGAGGTATTATATGCTAAACTTACCCTGGTATCCTCATATTTTTACAAAAGGGGAACTCGGGATCATCAACAATTTCATACTTTTATACATCCTTAGCACAACAAATTTAGACACCCAATAGATTAAAACTGCTTCATTTTCATACAGTAATCATGCCTTCTTTGACAACCCACCGCACAAACACGCACACACACCTGGTCTTGTCATGTCCCCTCCCGGCAAAAGTTTCTATCTCTATCACTACATGTTGCAGTCTATATATATATATATTACTTCTGCACAAATTGTGTTTCATTCTATTGAGTGAACAAGCCACAAATCAAGGATGACAGAGATTTTCTTGCAGCAATACCCACAAACGCCCAGCACTGCATCTTCATATACAGTATTGACTTATTCAGTGAATGTCCTTCTGATGTGGGGACTTCAATAATGGCTCACTATTTTGCACTGTCAAATGGAATATGAAACCCAATTGAAAGTCCCGTCTAAAACTCGCCAACACTGAACTTGTCCATTTTACTACAATATTGAAAGGAAAATTATTTCGTGCCCTGGATGAGTAGCAGAATATACTGTACTAGGTGATGAGATGACCAACACCACAGTTACCCACAACCTGTGTATCCAGAGCATGAGATTTTTGTCATTATGTACAATTTATGCTTATTTTCTGAAATGAGAGTAAACAATATATAAATCTCAAAATCTCATGCCCTGTATAGACAAGACTGTGAATAACGGAGATTATCGGCCTATGAATATATATATTAGCCCATCCTGCTTCACTTCACTTGCCCTAGGCCCTAAATGATCCGTGTGAGAGTCTGATGCACGACACCAATGCCTCAAGCACTCTCGGGCCCCACTTAATTCACCTCTGATCGGCCAAGACCAAAGATTTTAACACGAGTGTTCTGTCCGTGAGTTGTATTCTACCAGTTATGTAACAAACACAATAATTAAAACCCACTGTCGTGGACAATCAAAAATTGTTATTAAATGGGCCTGGGGCAATCGAGGTATTGGTGGGCTTGATGCCCTTAAAACATGGGTGTGAAGAGGTTTTCACCGAGTTATATGACTAAAAAGATGAGATTTCGTGATGAAACAAATCTGATTGAGAGAATGGACAGTCTCACTGGAGGAAGAGTAAAGCTTTCAATCAAGCTAAACTTTTGATTTGATTAAAATAAGGCTTTACTTCCTACTTTGCAATATATAGAAATGAACCTCATGAAATATTTTAAAGCTCAAACTGGTGATGCGATCTGTGTATTCAATATTTTCAGACAAGAAGGATAATACCCTTTTTGTACCTACCATAGCAGTACCAATCACAATATTATAGTTAAAAAACTATGATATCATCCATGCTAGGAGAAAAAAATAGCAACCAGGCCGTTCACTTATTTTGTCTCCCACTGCATCATATTAAATGAGAAACATGACATGAGCAAATGCTTTAAAAGAGTAATTACAAGCCCTGGACAGTAGTTCAATGAGGTTCAAGTAGTTCTTTCCAGTCGTGGATGTCGATTATGAACCTTATTGTAGTACGACCTTCTAAAGCTCCTAATCACTGATGGTATAACTAGGCTTCCATGCAAGTGTCACTGGTTGGATGGTGTTGGACAAAACCATCAGGGGGGAGGGATGGGGGATGGGAAGGGTGTAGTTTACTGAGTTAGCATTATCATCTTCCTGCTCAATCACTTATACAATAGGGTTAATTAGAAAGAAAGGAAAAAGAGGACAATCATTATGATACACTGACACCTCTCCACCAGCAATCGAACAGTACAGAGGATCACACAAGATTCATTGAACAGTAGCATCCATTCAAATACTCTGTGATGAACTACAAGGTGGCCAAGGGCCCTGGTCGTCTGCAGAGACCACTTGAAGGACTGTCTATGTATAAATTGTACTTGTGATGGCAAAGTGAAAATGAACACTATATACAGAAGAAGAATTCCAACATTAAAATGCTAGACAAGCAACAGACTGCTTGCCATTCCTATTAGTTCATCAGCCTTTTCAGAGGGACAATGCCATAAACCTCATCATGACGACTTCTGTGCAAGCGGTGCGAGCACGTCGTCCAGTCCTAGCCTATCCTGCCACGGGCTGTACAACCTCGACCATAACTGTGATGGATCACGAGAAATGATCCACACTATGATGGTTACAGATCACATAATATGGTGACGAGCCCTAACTCGCCCTATACTGGTGATGGGATAGTGTGGTGGTGTATGTGCTGTCTAGGGACCAGTGAAGCCCAGGCTGGCCTCCTTATAATAATAATAATAATAATTTTTTTTTGCAATTCCAGGGACACTGATGCTACATGGGAAGCTGGTGTCCCCGGCAGAAGAGCAGGAACAAAGTGAGCCCAGGGCGGGCAAACAGAGGTGATACTACAAGTAACATTGGCACTAACTCAGTGTGACACACCAACAACTCACAACTCATCACTAGCACTGGCTTGGGGTGAACTAGCTGCTGCAGGTGAGAAGGTAAGGGGACAGCAGGGGAGGTGGGAGGCAGCAGAATACCAAGAGGGAGCACATTGCTGTTGGTCAAACTATACACCTCGTCAGAGCATACAGACTCCCATGCAACAGTGGCCTACAAAACTTGGTGCAGACATGATGGACCTAACTATGATAGTCCAAGACAAATACAACGCATCCGAGGCTGGTTCCACTGCTGGGCGAGGGGTTGGGTGCTCGCACGACCCCGTGAGCAGTAGCTACCACACATGCAGTGGGCTGGGCACCCGAGGGCTAGCCGTCAGCACCGAGCTCCTGCCTCAAGGTCGAGGACACCTGGGCCCAGCCACACTGGCACAACAGTGTATGCAATAACAAGCAAACGGTGTGGCTGCTGGGTGCCTCAAGCCTGGGGAGTCGTTCACTAGTATTGTTCAATGTATTTACACTTTACACATCATGAGGGCCGCATGATTTACAGCCAGACTGCAGCTTGAGGTACAGCTATCCGCCCAAGAAGACAGGCCTCCGCAGCCCCTTCGGCCAGGCCTTATCCACATTGGAGCAGTCAACGGCAGGGCACAAGGGGGCAGGGAAGCAGACGGGGAGGCTGCAGGGGTGGCTGGCTGAGCCGACCACCTCCCAGCTCAGTTTTCATTAGCGGCAGCAGCTGCAGCACCCTCCGAGGAGTCTACAGCGGATGAGCCGCCGCCGCCGCTGCTGTTGGCTGGTTCCCCACGATAATGTGCAGGAATCAATTTACTGTTCAACTCAGGTTGGATCTTGATTTCTGAAACATTAATATTCCCAGTAAGGTAACTGAAAGTTTGAAGGTTAACATTGTTATTTATAAGAGAGACAAACATTTAACAATACACCCCTCCTGGCAAGAGTAACCAGTTTGTAAAAGACATACATCAAGTACAGATACTATGTCATTACACTACAGCAACATCATCAGTAAATAAACACATAAGAAGTCCAAAGTATTTGGTTAAGACCTTCATGTATGCTATTACCTTACACCAACACTTAATTTAAACTTAGCAATAAAAATAGCAAGACTTGTTGGGATAGGATCACAAACTGAGCCAACAAGTAAATAAATACTATTTGGCGGTGAATCATTGACTTAACGGACTATATAGAGAGAAAAGTTCGTTACATCAAGTGAACTAATAAGCTGTGGTGCCTAATCTTCATGTGATCCTGTAAATGGGTTAAGCAAGGTAGGCGACCGATTGATTACCTTGTTCGGTGAAGTTGTAGAGGGGCGGCAGTTCCCGGTTGTTGGGTAGTCTGGTGCTGGGGTCCCTGAGTTCGTCGAAGAACTTATGTGCACAGGCCTGAAGCGGTGTGATGCGAGCCGAGGGCGTGTACTCTAACAGCCGAGCAACAAGGTTAATAGCATCCTCGGGCGTGCGCTGACGAAACACCTTTAATGAGAAGAGAAGAGGAATACAATTAATATACACAAGATGACAATGATGTTTGAATGATATATAATGGAAAGTACAGTTGTGAATAAAATTCCCGACACTTTTAGCAATATCGGGCTGTAGCTACTTAAGGGAGGTGGGAGGAGGGGTTGTCAGGAACATAAAGAGGGGATTGAAATTTTAACACCCTTTTATTCAATTTTTTTTCATATATTTTTTAAAACTGATAAAATTACAAAATTCTAGAAAGAAGCAGTGTTTATCAGCTACAGACCAGCCACACATATATGACTCCACAAAGGAATTCAGGCAACAGCTGGACAGGAGACAAAAACTGGTTAATGAAAAGGCCACCGAAGACTTACTGATTTAGTCAAAGAGGAATCTCCAACTGAGAGAGAGAGAGAGAGTAAGTCAGAAGGAATGGATGGAAGACAGAACTAGACAATAGATAAGAAGAAAAAAAGAAAAAACAAGTGAGACAAGGGAGAACTTTGGAGATTATTTTCAATAGTATAAATTAGAGATGGCGGTAAAGTGAGGTGAACGGAGAGGAAAAAAACAGAGATTGGAAGAAGAAAGGAGTACGTGAAAAATAAAGAATAAGAAGGCACGACAGATATAAAATTGAATGACCGAGAAAAACAAGAAATGGTTGATTAAATGTACACAACTGTGAAGAACTGTGATTAAAATAAAATTAACAGAAGAGGGCGAGAGAGGTGACTGAAAAGAAAGAGTAATGCATAAAATAAAGATAATAACACAAGCAATTTAAGAGTAATGCTGGAAACAAAAGTTCTGGTTCAATGAGTAAAAATGTTTGGCTTCACCTCACTCCCCTGAGAACCTTCCCTGAGTTCTCAACTGATCAACCTTTATCTCACCTTAGTGTCAACAGATGCTAAAGCCGTTAACACTTGCTGAAATATTTAGGTCTTGCTTTCAACAAATGAAGAAGTAACATCCCTTGCTTGTAGACGTAAGGCATATGTAAAGATCAACCAACCACTGCTATGTAATAAACACGAGAGACGAGAGAGGAGAAAGAGAAAGAGAAAGAGAGAGAGAGAAAGAGAAAGAGAAAGAGAAAGAGAGAGTGTGTGCGTGCGTGTGTGTGTGTGAGTGTGTGTGTGTGTGTGTGTGTGTGTGTGTGTGAGTGTGTGAGAGAGTGTGTGTGTGTGTGTGTGTGTGTGTGTGTGTGTGTGTGTGTGTGTGTGTGTGTGTGTGGCTCTACGACATAAAGGGACTGCAGTGGCCACAAAGTGAATAATTAATGATAATACCTGTCTTAATACCGCCCAAGAACTACAGTACAGTACCAGATGAGGTTATTACTAATTCCAGACGTCTTTTGACCTATAAATGAAATACCAAAACTACGATCTTGAAAATATACAAAACGAGGCTTTGGCCTGAGGTAGCAGAAAGGTGAGGGTGCATTGCAGGTGGGTGGATTAGCTTTGCTCTTGTGCTGCCTATTCTTGTAGAAATTATCAAGGTGTTTCAAGCTGTGATCTGCTGTGTATCAATTCCTAGTAAAGTAAAGAAAAGTGCAGCAAAAGTCACCAATATGCAGGGGGTAGTACCATCTTTTCATAATCTCACACACTGTGATCATTCCCAAACCTGGGCCAAGTTTGGAAACTTTCACCTACTGTAGTAAACAAAGTCTGATCAGTTTGGTAATGTCGAGGTTAATGGCTAGCTACAGCCTTGTCACGTTGGATGGTACCATGGGGGTATTATCGTCATTCCACGACATGATTAATTGAGGCTTGTAGCTTGCAAGTTTGTTCACATTTACATTGCTCATGAATACCTCAAAGTTATCAGTGAAGATAGATAAATCAACAAACTTTTCAAGAGAGTTTTGCTTTATCCTTCTAAACTTATATAAGTTCCAGCTGAGATATCAATGATTTTTACTAGAGTTAGACATGTTTACAGGCCATCATAAATGCCCCAAAACCCAACACTAACTCGGCTCAGCACCACCACTCTACCTGGCTTAAGTTACATTTACAGATTCTATAACAATAACTGTACAAAATATACTCATAAAACACAAAACCTGGACAAAATTTCTCGGATTCACTGCTGGCAGATCACACACATAGTAAACATATTAAGGTATATATAATTAATGAGGACAGTACAGGTACCTTAAAAATATTTCACGTACTGTATGACTTGGGAGTATAATCTGGGATCTGTCTTGCTGAATACTGGAAGACATGGATAATATTTCTTTATAGGAATAGACAGATATGTTAGCATTGTGCCTCATCTGAACCAACGCCACATCCAGTTCTGTGTTTACCTTCTGCTCTTAATGATAATACATGAATGTCTCCACTAATCTGTTGAGTCTTAATTCACTATCCAACATAATACAGTATACTACAAGTTCTCTCCCATCCTTACACAACACCAACAGACACTCCTTCATACTTGTCCTATTTATATCAGTCACAATGTTTCTGCCTGTCAGCAATATACAGTACTTGTTATCTTGAGAAAAATATGCTTGGAGGCCCCAGCTCATATTTCTCCAGTCCTCTACAAATACAATATTCTGACTGCTTGTAAGAAACTTACATCAATATACTAGAAACTTAGACAATTATGCTTACTTACAATAACCAGTCTTGGACTTCACTAGTTTTTTTTCTAATTTCACTAATTTCCTTAGTTAATAATGCTAATTAAGAAAAGTTACTGCAATGTGGTAACACTATTTATCACTGTACAAAATAAGATGCCTCTTGGCAACATGCATCCTAAACTACTGTACCTAATACGATAAGTTTCACAAACCCACATTACAGTTCACAGTTCCTACATACTTCAAAGACTTCAATATCAAAGGATGAGTTACGATCAATATCCTTCTGCCAGTAAAATGACCTACATCCACTGTAACAGCAAGAAATTCATAACTAAAAACACCTATAAAAAAAGAATATAATTACACTACTCATTACTTTACAAGGATATAATTTTAGTTCTTATACAAGTTAACCAAGTTTTCTTTCCTGTGATAAACTGTATATCATACTGACTCTTGATTCCAGTAGTCACTTATTTAACTGATCCAAAAAGCTGAATATCTGTAAATATCAGTCCCATAGATGGCAAAATTTGAGAAAATAACTTATCAACTTCACCCACTGTAAGCATACGCATCTATTACCCCTCTATATTATGTGTATCAAGTTTCAGAATGTATCGTGGAAAACTATGGGAGATGATTTAACCCCGAAATAAATTTAAAGACCCGTGAACCCGAAGCAGTAAACCCCGATGTGTTATTCTGTCCATAAATACTTCGGATTCACGAGTCTGAATCTCTCTCGGGGTTCGTGGTTCAGGAGAGTCAACGGGACCTTTGTGGGTGAATATACCTACCTCCCCACTTAGCACATCATAAGAGCACAACTTTCTCCATACCTTTAACCCGCGTGTCTATCTACCTACATCATTCAGTGAAGTCTTCCCACTCGAGGCATTTAGGTTTGGTCGACCATCATCTTCCAACACACCCCTACTTGCCCATTGAGGTAAGAGGGAATGAGGAAAGGACATACTGTAGCTTACTTAGATATCAAATAGAAGTGAATAATACCATTGGACAGGCCAGTTAAAGATACAAGTTAAGACATAGAGGAAGGAGGAGGGAGACTCAACAAGACATGTTAAATAAAAAAGCAGGAAAAGTGTATTTGAATGATCACAGAAGGATTTTTCAATAATTTGGTAATATAGTATTTATCTATCGGAATACTGTAATTAATGAAAAGGGTTTGTGTTTTGTGTGGCTCCTCTTCCACATCCCCCCTTCAAGATATAAAAAGTATGAAATAAAGTAAAATCATCTCCAGTCAAAGAAATAACACTTATGACAATGGTGCTCTTATTGGGAATTAAAAATCAACCCATTGACCACTGAATCTTCTTACAATGGTACAAAAAAAAATATAAAGACAATTTACCACATACAGTGTGCCTTCATACTCCTGTAAATAAAAAACTGGGAAGGGAGGGAGACAAAAACATTGGCTACATTTTGGGGGAATATTTTCTTTGGGGGTGGAGTCGGGGGTAACTAAAGGTATGTTACTGTATTTAAAGAGCTACCGGTACTGTACTTTCCATATCAAATAAAAAATCAATAAAAATGCAGGGAACTGTAACATGAAATCTACTAAGTATGGGGAGTGTCTACAAGATGACTGGATCATATATATATATATATAAAAAAAAAGATTCATGGCAACTTTAAAATGAAACCACAACAACAACACTGATCTTCCAAAGTACTTTTGGCTGCCATGATATACTACTACCCATATACAACATACTAGTCTTGACAACAGTATGGGATATTGTGCAATGAAAGAGGTGGGGAGGTTAATGCAAATAAAATGCAAAGGAGTAGATCCATCTCCAGTGAGGCATAGTCAAATAAAATAATAAACTAATAAAGGGAAACATGGCAACAAAAACATCCGGTGCTTCATGAGAGAGTAGCTATAACCTCTCCCACCAGATGCTTGTTGTGAGATAAGTCAGTAGATGTTAGTGAGGAAAGAACCTCTTAATTAAAAGCAACTTCTGAGGTTAGGTAAAAGTCTCGCACCAATTTCACAAACACGAAAATCAACAGTGAAATAACTGAAGTTAATGAATAGTGAAACTTCTCTGTTTATAAAAAGTGTGTGTTTTTTAAACTCTTAAAAGAAACGTCTACAACATATAACAGTTGACACAAAAATAGTAATGTCGTAAAAGTGCTTCAAGTCACTGGTAAAGCATAGATCTAAAAGTTTCTCTCTAGGTTAAAACACCAACTTGTTACATCCTTATTGTTATGCTGCTGGACTATCAATCGTTATTGTGACAGGCGTAACAAATAACAACAACGAACTAAAAAAATAATAATAATAATATAATGGGACATTGACTGACAGCCTACAGTCACACACGCTGCAACTGCCACCACATTGTACTCCCCCACAAGAACTAAGGATTTTAGGTGGTAAATGAGGTGTGAAGGGGTCTAATGCATCCAGCATACCAAGCCACCACGCCCAGCACTTACTTACTCTAAGCTTCTGATGCTTTTTATCATTGTTAGGAGAATCAGCCATGCGAGCCATCAATGCCTGTAAAACAACATCACCGCCTCCAGTTAGCATTTGGCCCCATCTGCTGACTCCAACACAAAAAATTACTGCTGGGTCACTTGTTCCATTCTGATTTTGATGTGGGTCTGTCTGCCATATCATGTTTGTCTTTTACATCTGAGGAATATTATTTATCCTACACAAGTAAGCAGTGAATGAAGATTATCCAGCAACTGATAGTATGCCCAATATGCTTACTCAATGACAACATTTGAATAGTAGTTAAGTCAGAAACAATGTTAAAATCGGAGGTGCTGGTTGTAAATATTCATATGGACAACATGTGCTGGTGATTAGTCTACGGTATAGTGCTTTAGAATGCTGGATGCAAAACTATCTCTCTTTATGTAATATAAGAACATGCGCCATCATCCTCAAGAAACTTAAAAAATATTCAAGGATACCTAATAAAACTGCATTACAACTGACCTACTTGACTGGTTACACTACACTACATTATAATCCAATATTTAAATATAAAAGGTCAAGTGATTCCTGGTGCAGCTTAGTAGACCACTAATCAATACTGCTTTCATCCTTTACACTTACATCTGGATGTGTATAGATTGTTTTCATAACTACAATACTCTAACTTAGAAAATTCTTCAAACACATACAGGATTAGTTTCACACATTCTCTACTAACACAGACAAGAAAACAACACGTAAAACCAACTCTTTTTTTCAGATTAACAATTACTTTGACATTACAGCACTCAAGAACAACAACATACATGTACTCCAAACAACTACCTCACACAGATCATACAACATAACACTGTCAACTTCTCACACCAATCATCATACCTTTTGCCATGGATGAGACTTAATTTGTGGGAATTTGAACTCGGTATAGTTGGGGTTCATCTCCCTGATCTGCTCCCGGGTGGGCGTTCCAAGAACTTTAATAATTTCCACTAACTGGTCGACACCCGAGTCACCTGGGAAGATGGGTTGACCTAACAGGAGCTCCGCCAGCACGCATCCCGCACTCCATACATCTGTCGGTAATTAAACAGTCTTGACACACGGACAGATACTGATGCTGATTATAACAAATATTAACTCAAGTGAAAGAAATCATATGAACCATTAAATGACTGCTTCTTGATAACTCATCAGGTGTGCTAGAGGTAAACATTATCCTACCTGCATAACAAATCTTAAATTGATCATTGTAGCCTTTTTCAAGTTATAGAAAGGAGGATAAATTATCAAAAAATCCATACACACACAAAGTAGAAAATTTTTACACTGTTATGTGTCTTGAACAGATAAATTTCTTTAATGTTAAAATTGTCTCAACACGCCCATGATGCACTTACCAATATTGGTGGTGTAATCAGTGGCCCCAAATATGAGTTCTGGAGCCCTGTAGTAACGCGAACAGATGTAGGAAACATTGGGCTCCCCACGTACCAAGTGTTTGGCACTCCCAAAGTCACAAAGCTTGAGAACCCCAGTCTCGGGGTCCAAAAGGAGGTTCTGGGGTTTGATGTCACGATGACACACACCCAAAGAGTGAATGTAGGCAAGGCTCCGGAACAACTGATACATGTACAACTGTAAACACACGTTATTATTACTACTTTTCCCCATAATAAAAAACAACATACTCAATAAAAATTTTTTATGACGTTTACTCAATTTTCCCTCCATAATCATTTTTGAAATTTCATAAAACCATTATTAACTGTAACCAAAACTTCTACTGTACAATACTAAGATAAGGTGATGGAATGCCGTCACCAACCCAGGTATAGACAGAACAAAGCAACAGGTCAAGTTACAAAAGAAAATGACAAGGAGCACTTTAACTACTTTAACTCACCTTAATATAGCTGATTGGTATAGTCTGTTTTTGTTTGCTGTGATGCCTTGCTACTTTATATACTGTCTCTGGGATAAACTCTAACACTAGGTTCAAGAACACTTCTTCTTTCTGAAAGATAATAATAACAACATTAATTATTATTCTACGTGGTTTACTTTTTTTTTTAATGCCGACTCTTATTTCCATCTTTATCCTTCACTTAATTCTTCCCTGTTTCTACCTTTCATCTTCTACATGTGAGAATACAGACACCATAAAGATGGACATGGAAACCAGTTCCAGATTGCTGCAGCATCACAAGTAATCTGGGAAACAGGAAATTGAGAGAATGAGTGAGTGAGAGTGAAGGACCAACACAAGCAGTTGTAATTACAGCACCTTGACACAACGGATATAAGGTGGAACAACCAGTAGGGGAGAAGGGTGGTGGGAGACTAGCTTAACAATAGTCAGTGTGTGTGATGAGCTGGAACCACACTGCTTAAAACCAATAAGCGAGCAAATTTTTTGTTTGATAATATATACTTTTAAAAATTCTATGCAATGTCAATGTGAAGTGACACAAAATGAATCAGGACACAACCACACCCTGCTTCATATTTATGCAAGTGCTGGGCTCACTAAGTTAATTCTTCAGTGAGACTTCCATCTTCATTACCTCCTCCACTTTCAGGCAATATTATTCTCTGCTACATGGACAATCTCCTCAACACACACACAGCCCATAACATACACAGACTATGGCTCCCCTCCCTCCAACCTTCTACCAAACTGTTATAATCTCACCCAACAACTCAATCAACCGCTTTTATCTACTGTCTCTACACAACCTCATAAAACCTACAAAATGTCTAAAGGTAAGTTTACAAAATGTCCTCCCTTGCCTTGAATCTTCTATATTCTGCCTCAGATTAAAAAAAAAAAAAAATATCTCAGGTTTTTTCCTTTTCTTTGAACTTATTCCTGTCATTTGAATTATGTGACAATGTTCACAAATTATCTACACACGGCATTTGATAACCCTCAGAAGGTTTAGTTATAAAAACAGGATAGAATTTATAAATCAAGTTAGCCATGTCGCCACAATGAATACTCTCTCTCTCACATCTGAAAGACCTTCACTCCCCGTATCCACCACCATCATATACTGTATTCAACGTGCCTGACAATCAAACAACAATCGAACACACTCCCCAGTCTCCTCCTCCCTCACATCTATACAGTGTACACAAATATACACAAAACCATACACTTGTCACAACTAAGCATACACATATACACATACTACATACACACACACACACACACCACACACAAACTCATTCTCCTTCGTACAGCCACACCCACACAGTCCCTTGTCTCACATTCTCTTTAAAGCACCCCCACACACACACACACACTTTCTCTCCACTCTCCTCCCTTCAAACAACACACACACATAATGCACAACTTTTCCACTCCCTTCCCATCAAACCACAAAAAATCTTTCTCCACTCCTTTCCACTGAGCCCAACACCTATCCTTCTAACTCTATTCCCTTCAAACTGACCCAATTTCCCATTCCCCCTCCCTGGTACAACACTAACACTCTCTTACTATGATAGCCAACTTGTACAAAATCCAACTTAAGGTCTCCACAGTATCCCTCACACCTGTTCTCTCTAAAAGCCACATGGTTGTTCAGAAGCTCAGTACCGTATCTAATGCATGGGGGCCAAAATAGAGCAAAATATACACTATGACACATTCTCTCGCCATCTTGGTTTATTGTCATTTGTTTCTATTTAATAATGGAGAAAATGTGTTCAGTTCTGGTAAATCCCTCTCACAACAAAGCTCTCAATCTGGCAAGTCAGCATAAAGTCAACAGCATTAGCTATGACTTTTTCATTCATTCATTCACACACACACACACTCACTTCTTCCTCCGCATCCATCCTCCTCATTTCAGACCCATCCTTCCCATCTCTCCTCCTGCTGCATGATCTTCCCCTATCCCTCCTGTCATCTATATCCTTTGACTTAATAGTATGGTCTTTCTACCAATCTTTTTCACTGACCATTCTCACAATATGCCATACAACACTTCTCTCACTCCCACACATCCAATTTATTTCAGTATTTATGATTCTCTGCATCTTGTCTTTTCCACATACAGTATTAGTCTCTAGTATGTCATTTACATTGCTTCTAATTTGCTCCTTCGTCTTGCATTCAGAGTCCATGTAATAATGTCAGGTTAACATATCTCTCATACACCTCCAGTTTTTAGTAGCTATTTCATCTGTACTGTATATGGCTCCAATATAAATTACTTTAATTCCCAAGAAATGTTTGAACTACTGTACAGTATTAATATCTTCAATATTTGACCTTCCTTTCATCTTGAAAAACTTCTTTTCATGTAAGTTCAATGTCAACTCATGCCATGACATGATTTAAGACTAATGATATTCCTTGTCAATAACTTTACCCTACAAAACTGTGCTAATGCATTAATTAATTGAGCATTATGGCTTGTTTGTTTATTAAGTAATGTGTGGTTGACGTGTGACACAGTGTTAAAGACTGGGTACAGTACAGAACTCACCTTATCTCCACTGGAGTAGAAGAAATACATCAGTTTGACTATATTACAGTGTTCTAGTCTTCTCATTATCTGAAGTTCTCGGTTCTGTAAATATAAAACACATCTTAGTGGAAGAAATGCTGGACTAAAACAAACAGATCATAAGCTAAGAGTTCCACAGCAATATAACAAGGTCTATTACCAGTATCTGATATAACAACAGATTAGTAACATTTTACCACTAGAGAAAGCCAACTCCTAGGTGTTATAAAACAGGGCAATAAAGATGGAAAATATCAAATATCTGAATTCTTGTTATGCTGTCCCTACATGCTAAATTTTGGTTAAGACCCAATGCCATTTGACAAAGTTACCTCGTTCACACATTCAGACACTCGTACATAAACATGGTGGCATTTCTAAATCTCCGCCTGCAGCAGAGTGGTGGGAGATAAATGAATATGGCAGACAGTGCAATAACAGCAAAGATAATTGGAGCTCTTGTAACTCCAATCTCTCCCTGGCCTCTCTCTCATTCTCTCTCTCCCTGGCCTTTCCCTCTCTTCCTGGCCTCTCTCTCTCTCTCTTGGCAAGTCTCCATACGAAGCTATATCTCACTCCACTCCTCCTCTATATGACTGTTTGTCCTGCTGCATCCAGGAGCTTTATGCTAATCCCCTTGGTCTCTCCCACCCAGGGTTGTTCCTTTCAGAAGCTCCCTCATCACCTGGCTTAACTTCTGGATGAGTCAGGTACCCTTATACTAAAGCTGACAGCCCTGGATCACATAGGAATAACACCTCTCTTATGAGTTCCACAGAAGACACACCTCTGGTTTAACACTGTATATATATCCCGTCCTTTGTACCTATAAAATTACCTTAAGATAATTTGCACAGAACTCAATTCATCATGATACCCCAAAGATGTTGCTAAAGATGCAGCCCCATCTCACCCTCACCACAAAAACTAGCTACTGTACTGAAAATTATAAGATTTCTACCCCAATTCTCTCATGTTTCTAGAAGAAAAAAAAGAGCCAGAGTTTAATTTGGAGATATCTAATACAGTACAGGAAGCAATAAGGATGAAAAAATATTCCCAGTGATCCAAAATAAACTACAGTAAGTCTTCTGAAGTTCAAGTTGGAACTTAATAATCCTTAAAGGCCACAGAGGAATCTTCACCTCTGGCTAATCAAATACTCAGCCAGTTAAGCCCTGTCCATTAAAATGTCTATCAACAGTTCAGGTGCATTGGTTATCTAGTTTTATAGACTTTAACTTATCATAGCTTCTTCCGTGTTTGATCAGTAAGACAAAAAAATATATATCACGTTGATTTTCTACCCCCTAGGCCATTCCCCCCTTGTTAATATTTTCCCATTAGTTCTCCAATAGTTCCTGGCTTTTGAAAACATTTCCCGCTAGGTGGTGTACATCAGAGCCAGCCAATCTAGTCATGCAGCTCTTCTTAACACTTCTACTGCTTCTCTTATCACGATGACAATCTCTAGCTAACTTGGGCTAAAACCCATTGTTGTTTTCAGGTTATCCCATAATTCATGCTGGTCCATAACAGCACCGGGTTGTTGAAACTGATTAGAGATGGCCAGCGTGTACCCTCCAACACACACACACACACATACGTCACCCCTGGGCCACTCAAAGACGCAGCAGCTCCCTATAATCTTATCTTGGGATTCACCTAGTTCTGTGACCCAGTCTGAAGGTTATATCAACAAACTTACATCAACAGAGAAGTGTGCACTCTTTAATAACTTGCCTATCACCCAGTTCCCTCCACTGCTCCTACATCTAAGCCAACACCTTGACTCCTAGATATAAACATCCATTACTTTACTGGCACAAAGAACTCGAAGTTGTCACTAACTAGTTATCAAATCCATCAATGCTTCTAAAATATGTATAACACTGCCTGACAAAACTTTCCTCACACACAATTCAATTTTTATTAATACACTTTATATAAGAACTATTTATACTTTACTACAAGACTGAGAATGTAACATACACAATGACAACCTTCAACTTCAGCACCTCTAAATGCTTTAACCTTTATAAATCCACCTTTCCGCCATTTTATTACCTATATTTTGCTAGGTAACACCTATTTATTTCTACATTCATTAAGGCTTGTTCTCCATACAGTAACTACAGTATATGGTGCATAGTTCTTCCATGCTGTGACTCACATAAAATCACTTGAATATCATTCTTTCCCAACACCTCTCTTCTTATCTGATTCGTGACAAGAGTCTTCAAAAATTTTTCATCACTTTCTCAATTTCCTTTTGTGATATTCCAACACTTGTCCTTATCTTATCTCAACCTAAACCTGCTTCAGTTATTTTTGTTTCTTTCACAAAGTAACCATTCCAGAAATCCAAACAAAAATGCAGATAGTGGTACAAGAATCTTTCCCTTGGGGCAAGGAATGTGAGCGGTACAGTACTACATGGAAACTCAAATATTGACAAAAATTACCAAAAAACTTTTAACCCGGTGAAACCAAATGCAGAGGGGATCTCCTCCTTAGGGCAATGATCACATGACCTGGAGGTAACAGTCTAGTTTTACCAACATAACACACTAGTTTCAGCGAGCTTGACTCTTGGCTCAGCGACTCACAATGTAAAGGTTTTTCTCGCACTAAGGGTAAGGTGCCATTAAATATATTATATCAGTATGTACTGTACATGGCAACCTGAGCTATGGTTCCCAAACTAAAAGTGTAGTTTCAATAACCATGACTTCAACCCAATGACACAAAATTAAATGATAACTTCCTCTCCCAATGAGCAAAATACCTAAAATATCAAATAAATTTCTGCATTGAATTTAGAATCACAGTTCAGAAATCAAAAGCTTTATTACGGCAACAATGGCATAAACCACTGGACCCTGTCATAACAAAGTGTAAAGGAGGGTTGCTCTCCCTAGGGGGTAAGGTACCTAAACCATTTCACCAAGAGTCACAGTCTGGACACCAAAACTTTGAAACATAATGGACTGACACAAGGCCACTCCACAAATTGCATACATACATAAAAATTACTCAGACTCTGTTCACACTTCATTGCAAGTCATGTTTTGGAAGCTTAATCATGAGAGAAAAGAAAAACTTGGGAAAATAAAAGAATCAGGCACAGTTCTAGATATTACTCAGACCGGGCCAGTACTGGATGACAGACTGGAGAAGTACTGTACAAAGCAGATTAGTTCATCCCCAATCTCCTACTTCTCATAACAGGTAAACAGACTTATTATGAATCAAATTATCCTGACCCCTATTAGGTACCAAACCTCAAGGTCAACTGGGGAACTACTACCATGAAATGATTACAAAGTGTGCAGTATACTATATGAGTGAGGAAGAAGGCCAGCCTCCCGAACAAATGTAAAAACAGGTATCCTCATCAAGCACTGAGGTGAGAGGTGTTGCAAGTACCATCCCTCTCGTGCAGCCCAGCAAGGTGACGTCACAGGGCCTCATGACAAGGGCACTCAACCAGCAAGTGCCACACAGTCAAGGGAACAGATCAGTCCTCACAGAGAAGTTGTACCTCTTGGTACATTGAATATTCATGAGTGAGGTGTGTGTGGCTGTGAACAAAGTAAAAATATATGCATGTCTGCTCTACAGTTGTGTGGCAACTTTAAATTTAAGACATTTTAAAATTAAATGTAACTAGCATGTGCACTATACAGTATCCTGACAATAAAAAAAAGGGGATGATTTCCGGAGAAATCAACTAAACAAGATTTTGTTTTATTTCTTTACATACTACTGTACAATGTTGAGCAAATACATTATAGAAGCTGTAAGGTACCGTTAAACAATTTAAAGACCATAAATATATCTACTTTAAGTATACAATAAACAAAAATTGAGCAGTAAATTTACCTTTACAAATTTGAGTATAAAAGCATGACTCAATGAAGAATACCCGTAAAAACTTATGACACCACAGATCACTGGTACGGTCACCACCTGACTCATTTGTCTGGGAACATATCCATTCACTGCACCACCTCAAAGCTAGGTAACTAATTGACAAGATGAAGAGTACCTGTATTTGTTAAACAAATTTACATTGCATTGTTTTTTTATGATTGCATTATAAACAATATGAACCTTACTTCAGAGCAAAGCACAAAGAACTCTTAATATTTAAACATAGACTCCAGGAACACTTGTGCATTCACTGGGCAGCATCATTATTTTAACCCAAGTGTCTTAAATAGCAGTAATGGTACTAGAAAGGTTGAGACACTGACAAATAATGGTTAAAACAACAAGTATGTATACTCTACATACACACACCCTTTGGTTCACACCTTCAACTTACAAATGCAATACAGAAAGTAAATCAGCCGCCACACTCATTCACAAGACTTCACATGAATTTAATTAATAGACCTGTACAGTTCTCCAAATTGAGTCAACAAGACAATAGGACCCTGAAAGAAGAATTCAAGTGGCTGCACAAAACTTAAATTACAGAAATTACAAATGGTGTTTACTGTTGAAACTGTAAACCGACCTTAAAGCGTTTATCTTGCAGCACCTTCTTGATGGCGACGAGTTCTCCAGTCTCACACAGCTTGGCTTGGAACACCACACCGAAACTGCCATTGCCAATGACTTTTGTGTCCATGTACGATACCTCCTGCGGTCTATCTGAGCCCTGACCCGGGGTGGCAATGACTGTTGTGATCTTGTTGCCATCTTTACCTGCAAAGGCCAGACAACACAGGTTAACATAAGGGTTTATAACTCAACACAGTTAGTGACAAAGTGGAGAATGACTCATGCACTTAAACAAAAAAATTATTCTGCAAAGGAAATTACATTGTGACTAAAGATGGATTATTGCTGTACATGTATTACAAAACCTACATGACAACATAGTACAGTGCAGGGGCTCTTCAGTGGATGAAAAAAAAATTTAAATCACATTGACTACAGTAACACCTCATTTTAGAAATCAGATCTACACAATAAGCTTTTCTTGATGCTGTTTTGATTTTCCCTTGTGACTGCAACCTTCAAACAACTCTTCTACAGTATCTGATATATGGTTACAAAACAACACAACAAATAGTTTACATTTCCTCTTACTTTTCATATGCTACCTTGTACTTATACTCTCAATAACTGTTTACCAGATGCCAGATCCTTCCAGAAAAAAATTCTCCGTTTCAAATATATTCTCAAAACACTGAACACCAACAAATTTCATACAGATGTACAGATGATGGATAGAGAGAGATAAACTAACTCTCTCTCTCTCTCTCTGCCTCCCAAATTCTGTGGCGATGGCATTGATACACAGATGAGATGACGGACTGTGTGGTGCTGGGGTTAGAGCGGTGCAGCTGACAATTAAACACAGTACAGTATGCCCACACAGAGGCCGAGATGCAAGGCAGAATATGAGGATATAAGTGAGGGTCTGTGATGTTGAGTAAGGAGCAAGATGACATGGCATAATATACTGCAGAATGTAATGTGAGGGAATCTTAAGTTATGATGGATAGTCTGAGGAGAGTTGGTGGGTATGTTGGGATTCAAGACCCAGTGAGGGAGTGTGAGAGGACATCAAAATATTAGTGTAAATTAAACTGTACTACTGTGTTAGTCATCACTGTACAATTATAAAACTAACCTGACTTAAACTTTGCCAGGTAAGTGAATTATTTGCCAAGGTGTTACATGTTCCAACATACAGTATATAACATCAGATACTGTACCTGGTTCACACTGGATCTAATTTATAATAAGGGTACTGTAGTAGAACAAATTTTGGGCCCCATGCACCAAGGGATTGCATTCCAAGAAAGAAAAACATACACACACATAATATACAGTACAGGGTATATATATCATTTTTGGATAACATTGAGTACAGTACTGTAACAAGAAAAAGTTAAGAGAATCCAACAGCAGTCATCTAGCTATACAGAATCAAGGTGCAACATGTGACTCTGTAGCTACTCACACCCAGGTAGCTACAGAACTTGCAAGGATGTACAGTAACTTTAAGTCCTCATCGTCTTGCCGCTATGTACCATAAACAAAATTAATGTCAATTGAAAATATTACAAATCTGTGGTATTTTCTAACTTGATGGTCCTTTTGTAATACTGTAGTTACTGATACCTGATGTCAGTCCACAAAAGCTACTCTACAGTACAGCATGTTCACACTCAATGTACAAATATAAAACACTCAATATCTTATTACAGCCTAAAGATCACTGTACAGTACATTATAGAAAAAACCATTAAGGAAAAGAGAATTTACACTGCACTGAAAATTGCCAAACACAACACAGTAACACCCCACTACAGAACCAACCTCTTAACTTCCACCCTCTAATTGCACCAAAGTTCATTTGCAAACTATGGGTGATGTCCCTCATGGGTTCCAAAAGTCTGGTCACACCAAAATAAATGTTACGCAACACTTCCATACTGCTCCACGACACTACCAAGGCCGTCCACACTGTAAACAATGCTCTAAGGGTACGTGTGTAGTGTGATGTAGTGATGGAGAAAAGTAATAGTTGCCAACAGTCAACATCTACTATACACACACACAAACCAACAAAAATTCAACAAATCATGACTATAAGTATGGATTATGAACCTTGAACCTCAAATGCTGCATATCTGTGATCATGTAGCACTTTTTGATGTAGGTACAGGTCCACCACACTATTCCAACATCAATATGCTTTGTTTGGTGAGTTTTATGAGTTTTGAGAACTTTTTAATATCTTTAGAGAGTAAAATGGGGGCAGGGGAGTAGAGTAATGAAAGAATGTTTGGTGACAAGGAAAGCAGTCCAATATTTTTCCATAGGTAAGAGAGTGAGACCATACAGTATGATAATAACACCCTGTAGCTAAATACAGTACTAGAGAGAACTGTAAAGAGCCTTCACCATATCTATACTAATGACTACACAAACATTTACTCAAGACTAAGTATATATCAACACCACTACGGTAACATAACTAGAGTCAAGCTTGTTTCCGTATTATACCGTTCCTCAGCCAACAATAATTCTCATGTAGACATCACAAACACACAACCATGGTCAGCGTGAAGTTGCTAGCTATACTAACCATCATTTCCCCTTTCCTTTTACATCTACATTATTATACACATCATAAGTTCCTCAGCAGATGTTTCAAAATATATAATCAGATTTTTTAGAGTAAAAAACCTCAATCTTGGTAATAAATATCACACTCACATTTTCCGTCATGGGGAAAGTTCTCAATGCACCTACACAAAACACAAGTCCTTAGAATTCCAAATTTGTACCGGTGTATATCCGTCGACTAGCCTATATTTTTACTGGCACCTGCGAACTGCTTCATTTACTCCGCATCGTGATAGGACGAGGGGATGGCCTGGTCCACTGCACGAGACTACAGCTTCAATTTCCTGTGTCCCTCCCCTCCCTCCCCTCTCTCAAGTCTCTGTGCCTCTGCTTATCTCTCCTCGCCGCCCCTCTTGCAAGGCTTTCCTCACACCCACAGGCTCTCGCTATAACCAAACACAGTATAGCCAACACAGTCTCTTTACCTATCAAATATAACACTGCAATTTCCCGCTGCCTATCGTATTCCTTCTAAGTATCGCTTTATATATCACAGTGTCTACCTATCTTATCTATCAATTGACTTATCTATCTATCCATCTATCTACTGTATCTATCTATCTACTGTATCTATTTATATATCTATCTATCTATATATCTATCAAACTACCTATCTAACAGTCTACTGCATATATAAGCCTCCCTGCCTACTTTATCATCCTAGCTATCGACTCAACTCATTGGTTAGTTAATTCAACGAGGAACGAAACAGGCGCAACAAACAAACACCACCACCGACTGTGTAATGGATCCTTCTATCACTTACACGCGTCTGGGACCAGAGTGTGTAGTGGCTATCTGTCTGTCTGTCTGTCTGTCTATCTATTCTCAACTACATAACACTGATCAAACTCAACAAATATCCCAAGACTCTTAAAACAACTCTACCATCTTGATCTTTAATTCTTCTCAAATAAATAAAATAAAAAATACAGTAATTAAAAAAACTTTTCACTATGTATTGACTCATCGACGTCAAGGTCTCCCCAAGTTAACTATGAGCAACAAGTCACTATACACACGCTGGGCAAGGAAGGGGAGCCGCTCGGCTATTCAGTGAGAATGAGGTCCCCCATGACTCAGTGAGACAGCGATCAACGTCAATATTTCCCTCTTCTGCTTGTTAAAACTTTCGCCACATCTTCTTTATCTACTATTGTGAATGTATTAAATGCATTTCGGTGCAGAGTTTCCCTTGAAAAGTTCCACACCAGGTTAAGGTTTCATTGACACACAACACTGCACTACATAGAAGATGGGTGGAAGTGACACAAGTGGGTTATACCATGTGTGTGTCACAGTGTGTGTGTTCAGCCAAATAAAGGTCAGTCAAATTATTGGAAAGTTGCTTGGAATTTCAAAGTTTGTAAATGTTCTTAAAATACTCAAGCACACAGTTACACCCCATTACGAGGTACATACACAAAAAGCATGCACTCACATTTGCATACTGTACACACACACATTGTAGACATGCCTACTGTACACACACACACAAGCATACCAATCATTCTTTACCCCCTCTTATAAGGTAAGCATTAGCTGTAATGTGCAGTGGAGATGACTCGAGTAGTATGTAACAGAATCAAGTGGTTCAATAGCAGTCACTTCGGTACAGAGATAAGAGTACAGTACAACAGCTGAGTAAAGCAGAGATAAGTCTGTAAGCTTTACAGAAAATATATACATTCTTAGTATGGCCAGAAGCATTTAGATTACAGAAAACTACAGTACAGTACTGTATAATAGAAATGGATCATGTGAAGATTAGGCACTCCAGTTTATTTCACCTGATAATTAAACACCTTGATGCTACATGGGGATGGGGGGGGGGGTAATATTAAGGGGGTGCCTAAAATTGACATGATCCACAGAAGCTCATGTGTGTGTGGAACTGAGAATTTAGGGAAAATAAAATTTCTTACACTTAATAAAATTTCCACTTGGCTTGTGAGAATAATGTGTATGCTGTATCTATCAGTTCTAAAAGAGCCAAAGACAGTCAGCAAAGGAGTTCTGACAAATTTTGATTCTTTTGAGGAGTGAAAGATTTGCACACTAAAGAGTAGAGTGGATGTGTGTGTGTGTGTGTGTAAACAGCCAGAACTAGGTAAGCCACTAAGTGCAACATCACCAAGTGCAGTATTATCACAGCTATTAAAGACATATTTATAAGAAGGGTATTTGTGAGATGAGGATGAGCATGAGAGTACACGAGAAACGTAACGTTAAAAGTCACGGTGGCACGGAACAGCAGCTGCCATAACTAGCTTAATGTTTGATGATGTAACTGCAATACAGCATTTATAAAGACACTTCTGAATAATGAGTTAGGCAGAGGAGATACATTTAGCCTTCAATGATGATAAAGAACGCAAATGACGTACAAGAAGTAAAGAAAAAAACAGATGTTACATGGAAGGTAAAGAGGAGGAGCCCCCATCTTGAGTTGTGAATGGGATTGACAGACGCAGCTCTATGTAGTCTTGTAACATCCTTTCAACTAACTACCATAAATTCATTCCCTCTTAAATCTTCCAATCAGCCTACACTCAATATAA